GGGGGGAGGGGGTGTGATGAGGGTAGAATCTATATATGGATTGTGGGCATTCGGAGAAAGGTCACAATTTTTTAGTTGGTTAGTCCTATAGGTCAACTTCTTACTTACAACCCGTTCGGAGAACAAGGTGGAGTTTTATTTTGCATGGACTGTTATCTTGGTAGTTCTCATCTTTACTTGCAGTAAGGCATTGCATGTTATCTTATGGGAGGGTTGGTGATTTTCAATTTTATTTTTGATATAAAATGTTTAAGGATACTAAACTAAAGTACAAAAGAATGCATGTAACATTGTTCAATGGTGCTGGTGTTCAATATATAAACAAATGGATTTATGTAGTGTGGGGAGAATTTTAGCAGTAATTTGCATCATACATGTCTTGTTTTTCTTGTTATATTGCTTGAGATCTTTTCTGAAGTCATAGCATCTTGACTGCAATCTTTTATTTTGTAAGTTATTTCGTCCCCAAAATTTTTTAAGACAATCAACCATCTTGAATTATGATTTTGTTGTGCACATAACTTGTATTGGCATTTCCAGAATGTGGTTCTGATGGATAAGTGTAATGATGGTCTCTTTTTTGATCCCACCTGTTCTTAGTAAAGTCGGAATTATTTTTCATTAATCATGAATTGAATGGTTTTGTTAACGTTATTTGGTATGGTGGTACTCTGGAATACTATGGATTAATGTCCTTTTTTAATACCCAGTTAATTGTTTTGATATTTTTCTTAACTGACGTTTAGTTGGCTGGCTGAGCCTTTTGTAGTTTAATTGGTTGCAAAAACTATTGTGCTGAATCAAGGATGACAATTTTGTCTTGTTTCCTTTGGAATGCCCAAACCGTTTTAGTCTCCATGGTAACAAAACATCAGTGATTGATATTGAAATTTCTATATTTTTTCGGCCAATGTTTTGAAAACATCTTTTTAATTTTTCTATGTTTCTATTTTTTTTTCCTAACCCTTCCTATTTCTAAGCTAGCTGAAATTATGAACCAAAATGAAATTTTGATTCTTATTTTCGGTAATGTGTTTACTGCTTTTCATCTCAGTTTTATTAGATTTAGAGTCACGAAAAGTTTTAAGTGTGTATATTTTTCCATGACTGTAGTTGACATCCTCAAGACAACTATGGTTGACAAACTCCCTAATGATTTGGAAGGAATGGAAGCCTCAATGAAACGATTACTAGCTTTAATTGATGACGTCTACAATTATGTTGACGAAGTTGTGGTGAGAAACTTGGCTTGATACTCACTAAGTCATTTTTCTTTTGCTTTACCTTTCTTGTGACTTTATTTCCATTGTCCTCCTCAGGAAGGGCGTGTTGCACCAGATAATAATATTGGGAGATGTATAGCAAATTCTATAGCCTCCATTCCCAAATTATCACCACAAGCTTTTGATAAGCTCGTGAATGATAGTCAACAGGTAGGTTAACTTCATTTTACATAGACAAAGGTTGAAATTGCAATCTTTTATAGTGTTATGTTTTGAAAAATGTGTTTAGGGGTTACTCTGATATTCCATAAATGATTTTGGTCCTGTAAGCTTGAAGGGATGGGGAACCCTCCATTCCTCACCCTCTTTTTTTTCTGAGGGTTCACTAAAGATGTTATTTGTCCCAAAATGCTTTTGGACCCATAATTTTGACTCTGCTGTGTCATTTCACACTTGAGCTTAAGATATTATTGTAAGAATAAAATTAATTTTTTCAAACTTTTATTGAATTTCATTTTAATTATGTTTAAATTGTAAATTTCAGTTACAAATTTTTTTGTCCTAGTTAGTGTATATATTCAATAATAATAATAATTTTGACCGTAAATTTGGTTTTATGGTTGTTCAAGCCAAACAATCAAATTCATTGTAAATATATCATTTGTAAGTTATACAAGTGTAGGCCAACGGTCAAAAGGGAATTGAATAGTCATCATGTGTACTTGAGAAGCATGTGCCAAATGGTTAAACAAAAAAAAATTGAATAGTCATTGTATGTACGTTAGACACACGGTGGCTATATAAAGTCTTTATGAAATTTTTTCAAGTGAATGAAATCAACACCGCAGGCTTTCTTCTTATTTTCTAATCAACACTATAGGCTTTCTTCCTGTTGCTCATTTCAGTAGACTATTCAATTGCTCATATCAATTCTTTTACATTTGGCCTACATTTTTCAATTATCATCTATTAATTTTTTTTTGGGCAACTCGATTCGAGTCAAGTTCATGTCAACCTTCTATTGGATGTGACAATTGAGAAGATACTACTGCGAGTGTCTGGGTTAGATCTTGGAGTCGCTGGTGTCTGTCAGTACCCTCACTCGGAGAGGCTCAGTTGCTTTAGGACAGTGATCACATACCTCTCGAGCTCGCAAGTCAGCTCTTTCCAAATAAATTTATTTGATTTATATAGATTGCATGTTTATATATTTAATTGCATGTTATATTTTTTTTTTATGATCTAACTACTATTTTCATGTTTTATATCTAATTTTAGATTACAACACTTATATTTATTTTGCTCACATCATAATTCTAATATTTGTTGTTTTGGCCAAATTCTGTAGCAAATTTTATTAATTCCAATTATAAATCTATACTTAAAATATATAATTAATTCTATAATTACTTCATCCATTTTTGATTCAATGACCAAAATCCTAAGTTTTGTTTTCGCAACTTAGGACTCAGTTATTATGCTTTCCTTTTGGTAGTATATGCAATTATGTTGTTTCTAGTTGATCAAGAACCCCAGATTTTGTTTCAATGGCACCTCTATTTGACCATAAATATGCTTTGGTTTTTAACCTTGTAGGACCAACTACTTTTGCTCTATTTGTCAAGCATCACCTGAACACAACTCAGCTTAGCAAAAAAGTTGAACACCGCTGAACAGATTTTGTAGGTGATATCTACCATCTCTTTTCAAGAGGAAAATGTATGGCCAAGGTGGTTTTTCTTTTAAAATGTGGTCAATTTTAGTAAGTTATGCCCTTATATGAGAACTATGCTAATTTTTTTGGTCCTAGAGAAATTGTTGTAGTGTATTCGAGATTTTTCGCATTAGTTGGTTGTTGTTCTCCATCCAAATTGTTTTGTGTTGGGTTAAATATTATGAAGAAACCATGTAAAATCTCTCAAAATTTGATGGCTCGGGAGAGCCTTTGTCTAATTTTTCTTTGGAATTATGGGAATGCTAGTTCGTTCAAAGTAAAAAGATTAGGTTTAAGTCCTCTTGTGTAACACACACTGTAAGATTAACAAATCAAATTATTGAAAACCAAAAAGAATGGAACGTTGTTTCGCTCTTTTTTGATGTGCTACCCCCCTACTTCCCCTTTGGTTGCCTTGTAGTTTTCTAGGGAATAGAGATCAAAATCCGGTAATGCTATAGGCAGTATTTGATACACGAGGACTATGGAATGCATGGGTATCAAAATTTTGATCTAGATTTTAAGATCTTATATGACGGGTTATAAGTAAATCAATTTGGGTCTACTTGGGAATGTAGGATTCCGATCTAAATTGTGATCTTACTGATTCAAGTTGTTAGGTTTGCTTCTTAGGTTCATTTAGTTGTTGAGCAACCTAGTTCATGTTTTTCGTTTACCAAAGAGTCTTTTTAATCATTCGTCTCTCTTTGAAAATTTTAAAGCAACGATTAAATTTAATTTTCTCTCTCAGAGAGTGATCATAAGCAAATAGTCTGATATTTTTATTCTATTTTGCTTTTTTTGTTTGGATGTCATATACTCAATATTATTATTCAATAGCGTTTCAACTTTTCGGTCTCTCTCTCTTTGAAACTTAAGATCAAAATACTTCAATCCTCATATTTCTCTTTGCAAAATTCTACATGATTAACAACAATTCACCTTTGATTTTAAACCTTTTTTAGTATTCAAGTTGTAGTTTATCAAATTTCAAGCATATTTTAAGTTCTATGTTTGACCATTCCAAAAAAAAAATTATGTTTGTCATAGCATTTCTATTAGGTTTATCTAGTTTTATTTTTGGGAATTTTATATTGCTACTTATATTTTTTATCTCATTTTTTTAATTAATAGGATTTTATGATTCTTTATTCGATTTTATAACTTCCTCGATTGATCCAATATAATATTTCGATTTTAAAAGTGTTGATGAAATGTAACCGTGACTAATGGGTGTGATTAGTTACTGGATACAAACAGAGAGACAAAGTGAATCCGTTTTGGAATCACAGAATCTATAAGCATACTCTTTGTTTGGATGGCAACTGATTATGACAATGAATCCATGATATTCAATGTATTGATAGCCCCACTCCCACAAGCAGGGATGGTTTGCCTTAGAAAAGACCAGGCAAAGTTCTCTGCATAATCCTTTTTCCCTCCTTTTATAATGCTAACTTGAAATACAAAAGGTAACCCTAGATGCAATGTTCGATTTTGTGTGTGTGGGCCCATAGTTTAAGATTTTTTTAAAAAATATACAAAATAAAAATCAGCAATTGATTCAAGTTATTTTCTAAAAAGAAGTAAAAAAAGGTTAGATATATGCAATTCAGTGCATGAGTATTTATACTTTTGTGAGTTTTGAATTGGATTAGATTTATGCAGTTTTGTATACAAATAGATTGTTTGTCTTAGTGTTATCAGAACCCGGACCAGACTGGCCGGTCGGACCGGTTCAATCGTGACCCGAGATCTTAGCCGGTCCGATTCTCTAATTAGACTATATAAGGAATTGAACCGTTGAAAAACCATCAAACCAGCCGATTTTGACCAAAACCGGTGAACTGGAATATTTCTAAAATCTGCCGGTTCACATCTTAATACCAGCCACCTCTTTGTCTTCATTTTCTTCAACACCGTATCTCCATCTCCAATACTCGAACAGCAGTGGCCACCACAGATCTCCAAGATTCGAACTCCTCCACCACAGATCTCATCTTTTCCTTGTCTATGCAAGTTGTCTTCTCCTTTTCTCTCTCTTTCTCTCTCTATCTTGGCTGGGTTCATCTAAAAGTCATGGGCTGGAAGATGACTAACCTTCTCTCTTGCCTGGGTTCATCTCCTCTTATGTCTCTTGCCTGGGTTCATCTCTTTCTTTCTCTCTCTCTTGTGTGTATATATATATATATCTACTCGCACACACAGTACACTATACGTTATACACACGCACACACAATTAGCACACACATCAAATTGAAATCAAGCATGTAAATTATGCTTTAAATAATATGATGTGATTTTTATTTATATTATTATTGTAAATTTTATTTTGATTGTGGACTTTTAGTTAAATTATTATGTTTTATAATTTTTTATTTTTTTATTATACGACCGGTCCGGCCAGTTAACCCAACTGTTAGACTAGTGAACCATTGACCAACGGTTTGTATGACTCGAACTCTTAAGTTTTAAGTCCAAATGGAATAAAATTATCGTTATGCTAGGAATCTCTCTCAATGAACAATTTTTTAATGAGTTAGACAAAAATTAATTTTTCTCCATAAATTGTGCAACTTCATAGGTGGACATTTTGGCTTAGGCTTTCTCTGGCTTTTCTACTCGTTTGACATTCTGTTCTCCTTTGTCTTATTTTTTTATTACATTTTTCTTTGTTCTTAATGGCCACCACAACTCCTTCGGGTTAGATTATGAGGGATTTATTTCTCTTAAATTCTCTAGTTTTGACGTGAATGATCTACCTTTAAATAGATCAGATATGAGATTAGTCGAGGTGCGTGTGAACTAATATAGACAGCTATTGAACCCCCAAAAAAAATGGGCACCGTAACTTACTATTAGACTGTTAAGTCGTGGGTTTGAACCATCCTGCCACCATTTTCGAAAAGATCAAATTAGCGACAAAAAAAAAAAATTTGGGATGATTATAGTAAGTGAAAATAAAACACAAATTAAGCATTTCCTTAACAAATTAAATTCAAAATCTAAAAAACATAACACAGACAAAACATCCCTCCACTTCTCCCAATCACCTACTATAACTGTCACAGGGTCCAAAAACCCGTCACACTCAAATCATGAACAATTCAATAACCCGACACGTAATACATGAACTTCGAATCCAACTCCAAGCCCTCCATAGTCTCAGGCTCCAAGACCATCTCCAAATCAACGGTCCCACCACCTTCCCTCCCCAAAAAATGCCAAAATCTTACCGTCAAACTAATTAGCCCGTTCACTCCGAATGGCTACGGGTCTGCTCCACCCAAAATCATTGTTGTTCATTGGAAATCTTGGTGAACTTCCCATTGTGATCATCGCCCCGTCAAAGTTTCCCAATGGGAAACACCGTGGGTCCCACTCCCAATCCTCTACGCATCACCTCATCGTAGCGTTATCGTGGGCCTTTACGTTCTTGTTCAGTTGCTCGATGCACCATCAGAGATCACATGACAGAACGTCGCGGCGGACGCATACGCTGGAATGCTCTGAATTGCGTTTCCAAAATAGTACGAATCGAGCTTTGGTTCAAACCAATGACGACAATTCACCGCCATTCTGAACGTTGTCATTTTGGACGATGGTAGTTTCCGAGCACATGTCACCACTCACCATAGTAGAGCACATAGTGACTGAAAAGATGAGATCTATACCGTTGGATAGGCATATTCCGTTTCAGTGTTCAAAATGGTGTTTCATAGCCATTTCAACAGCATTATCTTCCCGTCGACGACCTTCAAAGGATTATTGCTTTGCTTCCCCATCAATTGGACTCTATCAATTGCTCTGTTACGACTACAGATCAATATTTGATCGTTTGTTTTTTATTTTAGTTTCAGAATCGATTCTCTGCTGAAACTGAAAATTCTCTCTCTCAACGGGGCATCAACGGAGAAAGTGACCTTGGGTCCACCTTCAGGGACTCTGAGAACAGTCGACGAGATCAATACCGATTCATGCCAGAAGTCTGGTACCCTCGAAATATTCCTCGCACCAGTTCCACAAACCTCCACAAAATATTGAAAAAGTTCCAAAATGACGTGCCATCAGTAACGGCGTGATTGAGTGCACAACCAATGAAAACACCGTCGGCGAGCTCAATCACTTGCACAACCAATATAGGCTTGAAATGGGCGTCGTAACTCGGTGTCCTATCAAAAGCGAAGAACTCTTTGACACAATTAGGGACATCAGTTGGGGACAAAATGTCGCGAACATGAATGTGAATTGCACTAGCGTGAATGAAGTCAACTCCGGCGTCGTTACTTGTGATATAAACATAACCGGAAGAGTCAGTTTTGAGACGTCCGGCGATTGGTGGGAAGAGAGAGAGAGTCTGGGAGAGACCACATTGGAGGAGAGAGATGAGAGAGTCAATTGGAACAGGAGGGTGAGTGAAGAGACCACCCATTTGAATGTAGTGATAGGAGAGCATCGGAAGATCGGAGACTGAGAGTTTGAGGTCAGAGAGTNGATGCAATGTTCGATTTTGTGTGTGTGGGCCCATAGTTTAAGATTTTTTTAAAAAATATACAAAATAAAAATCAGCAATTGATTCAAGTTATTTTCTAAAAAGAAGTAAAAAAAGGTTAGATATATGCAATTCAGTGCATGAGTATTTATACTTTTGTGAGTTTTGAATTGGATTAGATTTATGCAGTTTTGTATACAAATAGATTGTTTGTCTTAGTGTTATCAGAACCCGGACCAGACTGGCCGGTCGGACCGGTTCAATCGTGACCCGAGATCTTAGCCGGTCCGATTCTCTAATTAGACTATATAAGGAATTGAACCGTTGAAAAACCATCAAACCAGCCGATTTTGACCAAAACCGGTGAACTGGAATATTTCTAAAATCTGCCGGTTCACATCTTAATACCAGCCACCTCTTTGTCTTCATTTTCTTCAACACCGTATCTCCATCTCCAATACTCGAACAGCAGTGGCCACCACAGATCTCCAAGATTCGAACTCCTCCACCACAGATCTCATCTTTTCCTTGTCTATGCAAGTTGTCTTCTCCTTTTCTCTCTCTTTCTCTCTCTATCTTGGCTGGGTTCATCTAAAAGTCATGGGCTGGAAGATGACTAACCTTCTCTCTTGCCTGGGTTCATCTCCTCTTATGTCTCTTGCCTGGGTTCATCTCTTTCTTTCTCTCTCTCTTGTGTGTATATATATATATATCTACTCGCACACACAGTACACTATACGTTATACACACGCACACACAATTAGCACACACATCAAATTGAAATCAAGCATGTAAATTATGCTTTAAATAATATGATGTGATTTTTATTTATATTATTATTGTAAATTTTATTTTGATTGTGGACTTTTAGTTAAATTATTATGTTTTATAATTTTTTATTTTTTTATTATACGACCGGTCCGGCCAGTTAACCCAACTGTTAGACTAGTGAACCATTGACCAACGGTTTGTATGACTCGAACTCTTAAGTTTTAAGTCCAAATGGAATAAAATTATCGTTATGCTAGGAATCTCTCTCAATGAACAATTTTTTAATGAGTTAGACAAAAATTAATTTTTCTCCATAAATTGTGCAACTTCATAGGTGGACATTTTGGCTTAGGCTTTCTCTGGCTTTTCTACTCGTTTGACATTCTGTTCTCCTTTGTCTTATTTTTTTATTACATTTTTCTTTGTTCTTAATGGCCACCACAACTCCTTCGGGTTAGATTATGAGGGATTTATTTCTCTTAAATTCTCTAGTTTTGACGTGAATGATCTACCTTTAAATAGATCAGATATGAGATTAGTCGAGGTGCGTGTGAACTAATATAGACAGCTATTGAACCCCCAAAAAAAATGGGCACCGTAACTTACTATTAGACTGTTAAGTCGTGGGTTTGAACCATCCTGCCACCATTTTCGAAAAGATCAAATTAGCGACAAAAAAAAAAAATTTGGGATGATTATAGTAAGTGAAAATAAAACACAAATTAAGCATTTCCTTAACAAATTAAATTCAAAATCTAAAAAACATAACACAGACAAAACATCCCTCCACTTCTCCCAATCACCTACTATAACTGTCACAGGGTCCAAAAACCCGTCACACTCAAATCATGAACAATTCAATAACCCGACACGTAATACATGAACTTCGAATCCAACTCCAAGCCCTCCATAGTCTCAGGCTCCAAGACCATCTCCAAATCAACGGTCCCACCACCTTCCCTCCCCAAAAAATGCCAAAATCTTACCGTCAAACTAATTAGCCCGTTCACTCCGAATGGCTACGGGTCTGCTCCACCCAAAATCATTGTTGTTCATTGGAAATCTTGGTGAACTTCCCATTGTGATCATCGCCCCGTCAAAGTTTCCCAATGGGAAACACCGTGGGTCCCACTCCCAATCCTCTACGCATCACCTCATCGTAGCGTTATCGTGGGCCTTTACGTTCTTGTTCAGTTGCTCGATGCACCATCAGAGATCACATGACAGAACGTCGCGGCGGACGCATACGCTGGAATGCTCTGAATTGCGTTTCCAAAATAGTACGAATCGAGCTTTGGTTCAAACCAATGACGACAATTCACCGCCATTCTGAACGTTGTCATTTTGGACGATGGTAGTTTCCGAGCACATGTCACCACTCACCATAGTAGAGCACATAGTGACTGAAAAGATGAGATCTATACCGTTGGATAGGCATATTCCGTTTCAGTGTTCAAAATGGTGTTTCATAGCCATTTCAACAGCATTATCTTCCCGTCGACGACCTTCAAAGGATTATTGCTTTGCTTCCCCATCAATTGGACTCTATCAATTGCTCTGTTACGACTACAGATCAATATTTGATCGTTTGTTTTTTATTTTAGTTTCAGAATCGATTCTCTGCTGAAACTGAAAATTCTCTCTCTCAACGGGGCATCAACGGAGAAAGTGACCTTGGGTCCACCTTCAGGGACTCTGAGAACAGTCGACGAGATCAATACCGATTCATGCCAGAAGTCTGGTACCCTCGAAATATTCCTCGCACCAGTTCCACAAACCTCCACAAAATATTGAAAAAGTTCCAAAATGACGTGCCATCAGTAACGGCGTGATTGAGTGCACAACCAATGAAAACACCGTCGGCGAGCTCAATCACTTGCACAACCAATATAGGCTTGAAATGGCCGTCGTAACTCGGTGTCCTATCAAAAGCGAAGAACTCTTTGACACAATTAGGGACATCAGTTGGGGACAAAATGTCGCGAACATGAATGTGAATTGCACTAGCGTGAATGAAGTCAACTCCGGCGTCGTTACTTGTGATATAAACATAACCGGAAGAGTCAGTTTTGAGACGTCCGGCGATTGGTGGGAAGAGAGAGAGAGTCTGGGAGAGACCACATTGGAGGAGAGAGATGAGAGAGTCAATTGGAACAGGAGGGTGAGTGAAGAGACCACCCTTTTGAATGTAGTGATAGGAGAGCATCGGAAGATCGGAGACTGAGAGTTTGAGGTCAGAGAGTATCGATTTTTGGTCTGGGAAGATGGTGCATTTGGAGATGAGAGTTAGAGATTGTGAAGAAGCCATGGTTGAAGAAGGAATAGGCATGTTTGAGCTTTGAAGTGTTTGAGTCTTTAAGGCTCTCTTGCCTCACTTCGAATGGGGTGGAATTCTTGTGAAGTGAGGAGTGAGAGAAAGTGTAGAGGTGGGAGTGGTTTATATAGGGAGGGGTTGGAGTGGTTTAGAGGGTTGGGTTCATGCACTTGTTGAGGTAGTTGTTGTTGTTTGTTGGTTTGGGTGGCAAAATTTTTATTTTTTTAATAGGTTTGGGTGAATTGTGATAGGTCAAAGATTTAATTTTTTAATAAGTTTGAGTAGATAGTGGTGGGCTCAAATTTTTTTGTTTTAAATGAACTTAATTTTTTAATTCTTTTGCATAAATAATGTGGGTCTAACATTTTTATCTTGGGTTTTAAGTGGATACAAATAATATGTTATACAAATATATAATATACATACGTAACTAATAAAAAAAAAATTTTTTTGAGGGGGGGCACTTCTTCACCCTGTCCCATGCCTCCCTCCACCCTTGGTTATAGAGACTCGAACTCAAATATTAAGCGACGAAATTTGAGTTCTTTCTTATTGAACCCAAGACATTTGTTTTTGGAGCAATGCTATTAGGACTTAATTTAGTATAGTCATTGAATCGATCATATCCCCATCAAAAAGTACAATTTGGTGTTATTCCAATAGTTATAACGAAGTCACATTATTATGTCAACAAATTAAATTAAAATTTTAAGTTCTAATAACATTATTCTTGTCTTTTAATTATTTTCAGCTGACAATTATTTAAATGAGGTATTGTAGTTAAAAAGTTAAAGTATTAAATCGTAATATAAACCGACAGATCTAAACGATCTAGATTATTATCGTATTTTTCTAAGTTAAGAGCTTAAACAACTCAAACAACACGCTCTATTCTATTGGATTATCTATTATTGGGAGGGAAAGACGAGTGAAAAAAAAAAAGAAACTTTTTATACCATGCCATGTTTTGCTGCTAAGGAGGTTTGAAGCAGAGACCTCATTAAAGAGTTTTGGGTTGTTTCCCTTCTTTTTCTTGTTTTTTATTTTGGCTTGAAAACTCAGACAAGTTTTTGTTCTCAATTCCCACTTATTTTGAATTTTTTTTGGAAATTGTTGTCCAAACTGCATTTTTAGAGTTTTACTATTTTTGAGAATAGAAAACTGTTTTGGAGAACAAACCACACAAACCAGTATTGTATTGATCATTGTACCTCTAACTCTAGCTTGATAAATTTCATTACGTTTGATTAATTTTTTCTCCCTGAATCGATTTTCAAGTGCTGAGTTGGGCAAACGAGATATCAATGTATTCCATGTGGAACATCACGGTGTTTCTATCGGATGTTTGGAAGCTAAATTTCACCCATACCGCGACCATTGTGAGTCGCCATGACGTTCCTTGTGGAGACTTTTGTTGGTGACTATTGGATGCTCTCTGTTTCAAGCCTTTCATCAAGCATAGTAAGTTTGCTCTCTATTCCCTCTTTTATACCCTTATTATATTTCATCTCTTCAACAAGTTTACCAATGAGCAAACAGCTTTATTGTTTTGACGGAGAGAAAAACCTATGATTAGTTTTTTCAGAAAATTTTCAAACGAACAATTTCAACAAAATCTTTGAATTTCTTATTTTATTAAATTCAACTCTATGTATTTTATCCTCTGTGATTCCCATGTTGATGCCTTTTATCATCTGTGGAATTGTTTCCTCGATGGATACCTCTTTTTTCCTAGAGCAAGCCATGAGTATAACTAATAGATTCAGGTTCTTAACATTATCATTCCTTATATACTTCTATGCATTCTCCATGTATATTCGCAAGCATTCATTCTTTAATTGCAATCACTGGAAGCATTTTTGGAATGGGGAAGCAAAAACACATACCTGCAATAGGAATTGGATTTGGAATCATGATATCCATTTTCTGCTGCATTGTCGACACGCTGGTGGAGTAAAGAAGGTTAAATGTGGCCAAGGGACATGGCCTAATCGATGTCCCTCATAGCACAATCCCAATGAGTATTTTCTTGTTGATTCCTCAGTTTCTCCTCTTAGGTGCTGCACAAGGGATTGTCCTCAGTAACATGACCCATTTTTTGGTCGATCAAGTACCTAATTCAATGCAGTCATATTTGAGCAAACTCACTGAAGCTTTCTTGGGAGTTGGATTCATAGCTAGTGCTCTAACTGTTAATGTTGTGGGAAAGATTAGCGACGAGAGAGGGGTTGAAATCTAGTTTGGAGAGACACTAAACAAAAGCCGACTAGATAAGTACTATTACACACTAGCAACAATGAGTTGTGCCAATCTCTTTTTCTATGCACTTGTTGCTTTTGGTTTAATTACAAGGAGGTAAACATTCCAATAAAAGAACAAGAAGTGGTAGATGAAGAAAGGTTTCAATACCATGACGAGTAATACCATCAGGTGATCAGGGCAAGTCCAAGCGAGTAACAGGCTATAAGTTTAATCTGTGGCCATCCATGAAGTTTGAAGCATGAGTTGTCCCATCTTTCTGTTTGTTTTTGTTATTTGTAGGTAAATAATGTAATATTAGCAAGGTATGAAGAACTTTACTTTTCTTTTTAAAAGATTTCCTTCTACCGTATAACTGTTCTAAACCTCATTTAAGCTACATAATGAGTGAAAATACTTTCTGAGCCTTGAACCAACGTGAACAAATAGTGATTGACTCTCGCAAGAAATCAAACTCCCTACTAGTGTTATGCAACCATTAAACCTTTCAAGGTAGAAAAACCTCTAGTACTTTACAATACAAATTTGAGTGTAGTTCATTCTCATCACACCCACCCATGCAAAAGATAATTTACTTTTCATAAAATTTGCATATCAAACAATTTGTAATGCAACAATTCCAAAAAAAATGAGTATTCAAATCAAAACATGCAAGAGATGGTAATTAAAAATAAACAGAGAAAAATAGAGAAGTAAATAAATGGAAGAGAATGCAAAATGTGCAACAAGCCAAAATGTGCAAAAATTTGGTCTACTTATATTTCACAAAAGGGAAATCTGGTGGGCCCAAGAGGGCTCACCCCTTATGCTTCAAATATAACCACCAAATCCTCCGTGGTTTTGGACCAATATAAAAAATTAACACCATTAATAGGCTTTTTGCTTCACGTCCCAAATTTTATAGGGCTGATTTAATAATTTGAGTGATAATTCATAAGTTTTTACAGTTTGAGTGAGTCAATCATGATTTCATTTAATGAATTTTCTTTTAGAAAATTGGCATCCCAGAGCTATTAAAACAAACCCAAGCATTATTACATACGATTGTTATCCTTAAGTTTCAATATTACATAATATTTTGTAGGTCTCCAAAGCAAAGTACATAAGAAATACATAGCCAAAGACCTTCAACATAAGTTTGAAATACATAAACTTCCAAAACAAGATACATGCTAAAAGAAGTTAAGCATTCAAGACAATTTCGGGAAAGAAGTCCTCTTATCTCCAAGCCTATTACCTGCAAAATGAGATAACAAATATTATTACATGTATTACACTAGTACATACGTTGCACATGACATATGAATGCTAAAATCACATGCATTGCATCCACCATGAATGTTATTTCACACGTCCTTACTTACCAACTCTGGATTATCCCTCTCAAGTCCAACAATTTGGGGGGAAGCGAGGACCACTTAAAAGGCTTGCACCTCAGTGTTTCCCACCACTCATTTCTAAATGCTTTCAGTTAAGGATACGAGTAACTCACATGCCTCCCGAACACTAAAACATTGTTTGAGGCCTTTTACCCTAGGGAGCACAATCCCTTCATGTTTATCCCCATTATGTCCATTGTCGCTATGAAGTCTGATTCATTTAATTTCATCGCTTATTCGGATGATGAAAACATAATAAGCATAAAATACAATCGAATCATTGAATTCTATAATAATACCAAGATAAGACTTAATGATTACATGTAAAGCACATAATTGTGGTAGGTATGATTAAATCACGTTGTATTACTGTCGATAATTCCACCATGAGAATGTGCGGAAAAAAATGAGAATATATGCACGCAATTAGAATCTAAGTAAAGTCTTTCTTAGGCCTTTGCGATCATTATTACACATTCTAGTGATAATTATAAATTAAATTCCACCAAGTATAGAGTTTGGTCACCTTTTAACACAAGTAGGTACTTTGTCACATAATAGCTAAAAGATAATAGGGCCTTCGACGATTTTTTTAAAAATCACACAATTTGAATTAAGTTGTGAAATTTGTTGTGTACAATGTAAATGAGTTATAAATGTACAGAAAAATTAGCACGACAATCGAACATGCAATACTAGCTAGCCACAACATTCCTCCATATGTGAGTTGTACTTTGTACGTCCAAAGGGATAGGAAAAAAGGTGGAATTTCTCTCTGTCAGTCTCTGTGTGTGTGTGCGTGCGTGCGTGCGTGCGTGTGTCTGTGCGCGTGTGTGCTGAAAAGTTAAATGGAAACATATTATCTGAAAAAACTTATTAGCTATGCCGTCACCTGATTCAGGTTGAGAATATTGAGCTATCCCATGGTCCTGCTAAGCACCACAACGGCGGTTGTGTTCGTCGGTGATCTATTGACCAAGTCCTTAACTACAATTTGGGTCAACTTGTGATACAGTTTCTCCGTTATTTCCTTCCAAATTGGTAAGAGATGATTGATTCAGTGTAGCACCTGATATTCTTGGTAAGTTGTTCTCCCTTAGCCCTTGTATCACTCTCTTGGTTGTCTGCAAGAGCAAGTGTAAATGTCTCTATATGTTGAACCACGAATGATCCCTCCTAGTCAACTATATCTTGCACATCCTCCTGTAAGGGCGTGTAGTATGGTACATTGAAGGAGTCCAACTTCTCTTCATCAACCAAGCCCTACGAACGAACAAGTGATAAGAAAAAAATATAAACAATCCATCACCGAGTTTTGTATAATTTCCTTCAAAAGATTGATTAACAACCCGAGAAACTAGGTAATTTCATACCTCGAGGGACAAAGATAAAACATTTGCCTATTGAAAAATGTCACAATAAAACCTAGGCAACATTAGTGAGACCCCTCACATCCTAATGAAATTTGTTTGCACACAAAAATGATTGTTCCTCTTAAACACCAATGTGCTCTTTTTTCTTCGTTGGTGGATGTCCTTTGAGGGAATAGAGTCCCCCCCCCCCCCCCCCCCCCCCCCCTCAAAAAAAAAAAACTCAGGAATTCTTTATTTGTTTGTCAAGTCTTGTTCTAATGAGAATTTCATCCGAATTTGAACATAAAAAAAAACTTAATTATTTTACACAAAGCGATGTGCAATATCAAGTGTTGTAAACCAGAGCATGCTCCATGAAGTCTTTTTTTTTTTGGAAGGGGGGGGGGGAGGATAATGAACATCATCATACGTTTATAGCTTCTAAAAGTAATTTTAATTTTCAAAAAAACTTTACCTGTGAAACCATCTTATGTATGGTCTCAGCTAATATTTCCCAATGGTAACAGCTCTCCTTACCCCAAGGATCCGAGGCTTGTCGACCATGAAGTATCAAGACCATACGACCATTTTGAACCGTCTCTTCGGCACGAGACTTCAAAAACAAGGTGAAATCTTCTTTAAATTGAGCTAGATAGGCTGCTGCTACAACAGGAGGGCTTGTCTTTGATATATAGATCTTCCCCTTGTTCAATGGAAAGCCTTCCTTGCTTGTAAGTCCTTTGGGTATCTTTTGTTCATCGAGTTACGTTGAAATAATTAATCAGTACTTATGTGACATGTCAAAAACAAACATGTCATGCTTTAATTCAGACATCCGTTGGTAACATTTTTTTTTTAAGAATATGTTTTTCTAAAAACAATGAAAATTACTTTTGTGTTTTCTGCTTGTCCTTTTGTGAAAATTAAATCCCAAGTAACAATCATTTCAAGAAGTGTAATACTATTGAAACCTAAAAAAATTGACTTAATTGACTTAATAATCAAATTGAAGTGTAAAGATCAAAGTGATGACGCTAGATACATTTTTGGTAGACAATGTACTTTTATTCATGTACTATGACAACAACTTATTAACTCAGGATTCTTATTTTTTTTTAAGCATTAAATGCTCTACCCACATGATTATCCATGGAAAAAGAGAATTGGGAGTTAAATAGGGTTAAAAAGAGAGATAGTTATTTATTTAGAAAAAATTGAACAACAATATTGATATTTTATGAACGAAATTATTGAATGGAGTAAAAATCCGAGTTATGTGTAGTTATTTAGAAAGTAATAAAGTGTACTATGGGTATTTCAAGGGTGAACACCAAGCCTTTTCCTCTCCTTTTATTAATAGTATAAATTAAGAGAGCAATAATTTGTATCTACTTTGTATTTCTATGTCACAAATATCTATTTACTCAAAATCTATAAACTTTTTTGTTTTTGTCTTTGGAACTTTCAAAATTGCTGGTCTAAATTTCACTTTTAATTTGGTATCCTTTTTTGTGGAAAAATATGCATTTAATAATCCATTTTCATCTTCCCTCTTGTGGTCTATCTTCCACTCCCCATCTAAAATGAAATATCAAAACTTATTGGCTAGGAAAAAAAATTCCAAATCTGGCCAAGAATTATTTTAATAAAAAATGAATATAAACATTGTGATGTATAAGAATTAGGGTTAATTGTACTAAAGGTCCCCAAAATATGAGACTTGTCTCATTTTAATTCCCAATATTTCAATTACAACATTTTGGTCCCTGAAATATGAGCAATGCTATTCTGATCAAATCATTTACCAAATTTTGTATCCCAAATCATTGTGGGTGGTTAGATCAATGGAGTCCACTAACTCCACCAAATATTCAATGCATGAGAATTTGGCACATAATTTGAAATATAAGATTTGGTAAACATATTTGGGCAACACAGTTTTATTCCTGAAATATTGAATATATTTTTATGTGGTACCTCAAGTCAATTTTTTATCATAAACTTGTCATGTAATACGTAGATATGGGTAAATAATAATTTGAATAACTCTTGACCAAATTTCTTTCCAAATTTTTGTCTAAGAGCTACACAAATTACATAGTTTTAATCATAAGCGATCTAAAATTTGTTCAAGAGCCACTTATATTACACATTTTGTTGTGAAGAACTACCCAAATTTTGGCTAAGAGTTATCCAAATTATTTTTTGTCCATATTTAGGTATCACGTGATGTTGTCTGCTTGAGGGACCACATTGAAACATATTAAATACTTCAAAAACCAAAATGATGTAATTGAAATATTTGAATCAAAATGAGACAAATTTTATATTTTGAAACCTCCACTACAAGGATGAAGACTGTCAATTATATACACGACTTATAAATCTAACACAGGATCCAGAGCCAAACAAAGTGAGTGGGTTTGAATTTATTTTTAGATCGTTTGGATAATTATCTTGTGAACTATAGAACATAATAAAGTAAATAAGTCGATACTTAAATATAATAAACATTTTGCTAGACACAAATCCAACATGTTACAAACCTAAAATAGATTAAATTTGAGTTGAATAAATTTTGAATTGATTTACAAATACGACACCACATGAAGTATTGAAATGCCTACTTCGGATTTCTTGTTTACAAAGAGTATGAAGATTGATGCAAACCTGAGAGAGCCAGTGGACACTGTAGGAGGAATGAACAAGATGCAACCAGCTGAGAGGAAAGAGGCGGCTATGGAAAGAACCAAGAGCTCCCATCACAAAGCATGGAAGAAGGACATCACTCTTTTGATCTTCACCAACTCTATACAAGTCTTTGAAGAGCGAATTGAAATCATTACCGGGAAGATCGTTCAAGTAAACCTGAAGCTCCGGCGGTTGGCAATTTAACTCCTTGCATTTCCTCTCCAAGCTTTCTTTGACAGTTAAAATGACGGAGAAAGGGTTCGGACCGACTGTGCAACCGAGATCGACCACATTGAGAACTTTGTTCCGGTGCAAATCTTCTGAGAACAGAGAATGAACCGCATTTACCAGCATAGGATTGGTTATGGAAATCAATTTTTGCTGCACATGATCAGAAGATTGAATCAATCTGTAAATAATGTTGATTAAACAGAAATTTGAAGCGAAAACTGATGAGCAAAATGATCTTGCGATAACTATAGATTGATATGATGATATGAATGAAGTTTTCTTACAAACTAAGTTCTGTTTGTGAATGATTTTCCTTTTTGAACATAAGAAAATAACTTGATGTTTGGAAAGTAGAACGAGTTGATGTATGGAAAATAGAGCATACCGCAAACCATGCGTGTTGAGCATAGCTTGATTCTACTTCTCCTCCGTTCATGAAAATTGCTTCGTTCACGTCCACTCTCTCTCTCTCTCTCTCTCTCTCTCTCTCTCTCTAGCAATCAAGGATTGGTGATTAGGATCGAGGGCTCAAAGTGCTAATTAAATTCTACCACGTACTTATTGGACTTGGTGACAGAGTTTAGACAATCAACCAACAATTCAAGTTTTTTTTACGACATATCTTATTATTACTATAAATAAAGGCCATCAATATAAGGTAATTTAATTTAATCTTGACCTATTCATTTTATATTTTTTTTACTCACGATTTGATTTAAACATCGGAGTCCTTTTGACCACCGTCACCAACCATCGATTCACCCTAAATTCAATTCATCTAAATCTTATCTTCCATGCTTACTCACCACCCTCTCAATCCGTCGTCTAAAGCTTATTTTCAATGTTTACTCACCACCCTCTCAATCCGCTTTTTGTACTTTAGTCAAAGTGGTGGTTAGCTTTGCACCACATACAAAGTGAAAAATATTCCGAGCTTGTACTCACCATTCAACTATCAATCAATTTACCTTACTTTTTCAATGGTAGCAATACTCACCATTAAATTATCAGTCAATTTTCCTTACTTTTTAAGTGGGAGCAATTATGTCAAACCTAATTAGGACCTAACTCATTTATAACACCATTATTTGGATGTTATTTGCTGACATAATTTATTAGAAGTGATGGTGATGAATTTAAGCTCAAGCCGCTAACTTAAAGCCTAAAACACCCAGCGGATCCGTTAAAGAACAATCCAAATGGCCCATCTAAATAGCGCCCACCAAATAATGGGACTGTGCCATAGCCCAGGGTTGTAGAAGCTCAAGATCGTCCAACTTAAGATATATGCCAGCTCGGTCCCAGCAAGCTCAACGACATGTACTTGCTCGAGAATAAGGAACTCTGCACAAGACCAGCCTCAAGTAACCCAAGTCATGGCACATGGCCAAGGGATAGAGGGACAATGTCTGACTCTATCAAACAAATATTCCATAATAAAGGAAATATCGCATACATTCCATTTCAAAGATAGTGGGCGTGGAAAACGTCAAGCTGACAAATCTTGCTATTGGACAAACAAGGAGGTGACCACAGAATTAGTCAAAAAAGAGGAATTGCAGAAACCCTAGACAGATAGAAAACGAAGCCACTAAAAAAAGATAGAGTTCCATAAGCTACCTAAGAAATATTTTGTATAAGGTTGCTAGCCAAGAATACTGTAATTGTTACCTTCTTCTTAAAGTAATATAATCCTCAAGGGGCAAGAGTGGACAAAGTGTTAGTCTTTTGGCTAAGGTGAACCACTCATATTTTGGTCTTTGCTTCATCCCCAAACCTGTACCTCACATTATCTCAAGCACACACCAAGCCCCACTGGGCTTCACCCCCTTTGTCATTCTGCGATTCATCAGTAAAGAGATTTCAAGCACCATCAAGAACAAAGCTACAAACACCTAATTATTCATAACTATTCAATTGACGGTGCACTCTCAATTAAGTCAACAAATTAAGTCTAATTAATAATTTTGAATTTATTAACCTAATTCATGATTATAGGATTGATTGTTGATTCCAATAAATAATGATGTTCATCGTCAATTCAATAAATATAAATAAATAAGTCTTATAAATTAGATTCAAATAACATTGCTCATAACAACACTAATGTTATAGGGATATAATTTAAGACTTAATGTGTTATAACCATCAGATTTATAGTGGAGTCAATTGAATATTGGTACCTGTTAACAATCCAGTCTCCACTATCCTTCATTCCCTAAATTATGAGCTTGATGAAAATCATTTTTTAATTCAACAATTATAATTGATTTATTTTTATCTCGAAGATTATAATTGATTAGATTTTTAGATTAACTACAATAACATTTTCCCCAATGGCTAATGAAGTTACTCTTAAATTGCTTCAAACTAATTAAACAAGCTTTANTAACTACAATAACATTTTCCCCAATGGCTAATGAAGTTACTCTTAAATTGCTTCAAACGAATTAAACAAGCTTTATGTTTTGACTACTCAATTAAGTTTGAATTTTATTATGTACTCAGATGAAGATTGAATCATAGTACATAGAAAAATGTTATTTGTTTTTATTTGAGGACTTAATCAATTATAATTGTACGATTAAAAATTAACTTAATCTGACATTAAAGCTGACAGCTAATTTAATAACTTATTGAATTAAATCTCTGAATTAGTTCCCCAAGCATAAGATAAAATTTTAAGTTTCATTATCAATACTCGTTGTGCCTTACAAATAAATCATTAGTATGTTTGTTAACGATAATATTTCCATAAAATATTAATTCATTCGAATCCAATTTAAAAACTTCGCTCTTATTATTCAACGAACCTAAGTTTTAAAGTTCATATCAAATCCTTTAAAAAAAATTATTTTCATCTAAATAATTAAATTAGGGGTGAATTTTAAAACATTACATTTAATTTTAACACAATATCATTAAATAAGAACTCAATTTTAATTAATATATATGTATATATGGGTATGTGTAATCATATCGGATCACAATCGAATCCTAATTTTCTATATCTATATCTGTAAAGACTTGCCTCTTATTTTTTTTTTTGGCAAACTTTTTAATGGGGCAAATCCTAAATAATTTTCAAATTTTCATATGAAGCCCAAAATAGTTTAAACTTGGATTGGGGGCAACTGCCCCTACTATCCCAACCTTAAATATGTCGGTGTTTGACTTAATTTTTTACTAAAATTTGAATAAAAAGTTTGATTTCATAAAAAATACTACAATGGAGTATTCAATGTTAAAAGATGACAAACTCAAATTTAAATTTTAAAAAAGAGTAAAATTTCACTACTTAAAATATGAGTAAAGATCTAAGATTCCCTTGATTTGAGTAAAAAAAATTGAGTGTTCCTCATTTAGTATGAATTTGAATAAATGACTGTGAGTTGTTTCTACCCTGTTTTACTCAAATTTATGAGTTTGGCTGAAGATTGAAAATGCCCTAAACCACCAAAAAAAAAAAATTGGTGTTTTCAGTGGCCGAGTCCATTTTAGAAGAAAACCAAGTCATGATGTACAAGCCTTATTTTATTTGGTTTTAAAGGACAAATTGGAAATCAAACATAAAAATGTCATTCTACTCTGAGGTGCTTCTTCAGTCCAATGACACGGTACAGTGGCACAAGATAGTGAGACTAGACAGCCTATATCTCCGATATAACGCATTAAAGAAGATGATGTGTAGAATGCACTCTTAATCCGAGATGCGAAGCTTGGTTAGATAACTTAATTATGATGTGGAGTTACCCAGATGGACTTTTGTGAAGAAAAGATTAACAATTTGGAACAGGTTTTGTTCAATGCCAAATAAATTCTATCCAATTTAGTTATTCATCACTATTAACACATTGTTATGTTTGACTAAGTTGAGTTTAATATGGAATTTGGGTTTTAGTTTCTAATGCATTTCATTGAATGTCATTTGGTCATAGCTCATAATTAAAATGTTTTATCTTAAAACATCTCCAACCTTGTAAATTTGAGTCAACATTTGACTAAAAAATTTAATTTGATACAATGCACTCTAATGCAAAAACTCGAATTTAAATAAGGATAAAATATAACTATTAGATTTTTAAAAGAGAATAAAATATAACAATTGAAGATTTAAGTCTTTCATGATTTGGTATGAATTTGGGTATAAGATTAGAGAAACTTTTGTTTTTTTACCTAAATTCAAATTTGAAAAATGGTAAGGATTGAAATTACTCTCAGACTTTAATTGAAATGCTTTATGTCATAATGCCAACAATAAATGATTTTAAGGTTAAGGTATGACCAATTAAAATAAATATCCTGAGGATAACAAAACCATGGAAAATTTCTAGGTGGGCCGAAAATTTACAAACAAACAATGGTTAGGACCAAACTCAACATTGTAACCCAATGTAATTGTAGACAAGTTCAATAATGGATTTGCACTGAAAAGTCTTTCTCCTATTTTGATATTTGGATAACTTCAATGCACGTGTAGTCTACATAGAAATCAGTTTCGTAGCCTCAGTTCTCCTTTGGCCTAATAATCATCGCTCTTGTTCTGTCTCAATTTCGTAGTCTCTCTTGCTTTACCTGCACTATGGAGAGCTCCACTCCATACGAGCTTCGTTGCTGATAGAAAGAAGGAATTTCTCATTGTATTCCATGCCTAAGGTTTTGAATATGTCCGGAAGACAAGACAATTCGAGGCAAGAGAGGAGAAGAAAGTGGTAGAATATTTTGAAGGGTATTTTTGTCATACAAATTTTCAAAAACAATAACTTTGGACCACACACTTGATATTTTAAACAAGTGTGCCCTTAAGGAGTAAATATTAAATGCAACGTGGTAGCACCAACTAATAGTAAAATACTAAATGAATAAAGTGAACCTTATTTGAGTAATATTCGATTACATAGAAGAAGAGTAGATAATTATTAATTTTAGCAACAATGCTATACTGACCAAGATTTAATGCATAAATATATTCTAAAATAGACAGAATATTAAAATTTTCCTATAAGACTAGTAGTAATAAATATTTAATGAATAAATATAATTTAAAAATAAAACCACTTTTCAAAAAAAAAAATACGCATGAATCATGGTGCATTAAAGATAAGAGATTTTAAATTAAATGACCCAAAATTTCAGGGCTTAATAAATGTCTTGTTAAAGTTTTTAAGAAAGGAAAATTTTACAAAATGGGTATTTACGTATTTGTATCTCAGCTATGTATTTTTTTCTAAAATATTTTGTTTTATATACTTTTTTACAATTATATATCTAATTTAATGAACCGGCTTCCAAAGGACCCAATGTTTGACAATGTAGCAAACTTCAAGTTTTGAAGTTATGTTGCCTTTTGTGTTTTATATGACAATAAGTGATTTTGGATTTGGAGGACTAATGAAAAAATTTGTATGGCTTATTGGGGTCAAAGATTTTATCATTTTTGTTCTCCTTGGATTTTTCTCTAGGAGGATTGAATTTTTTGCTGGAACTTCCGTGAATCATTGGTGGAAATCAGATTGTGAACTTTAAAATCTCATTGTGAAGACTTTTTTTATATGCAAATTTCTAGGTTAAGATGAAGTGTGAACAAGACAAAATCCCATGGCGTTCCATGGGATTTTGTAATATTTACTGACTAAATTGTAACACGCATGGATCGAATACTCTTCTTGGTTGGTTGTTGATATCATTGCATTCATTACCTCATTGAAGCCCCCACTCCCTGCTCCCTCCCCGCCTCTTAAAAAGTAGAAAAATAAGAAAGAGGGCACCAACCTTATTTTTCTCATCAAAAAAATTTGGAGGCATTATTTCATTTATATATTATATTTTGACTTTTCATGTGTTTTTAATTAGCTGACAATTTCTATTTGATGCGTAAATTATCAATTTTTGATTCATCTAATTGGAAAACCAGTTGTTAATTGACTGTATGTTTCAGTTGGAAAACCAGTTGTTATCTTGGTATTTCTCATCTTTACNTCAACTTCTTACTTACAACCCGTTCGGAGAACAAGGTGGAGTTTTATTTTGCATGGACTGTTATCTTGGTAGTTCTCATCTTTACTTGCAGTAAGGCATTGCATGTTATCTTATGGGAGGGTTGGTGATTTTCAATTTTATTTTTGATATAAAATTTTTAAGGATACTAAACTAAAGTACAAAAGAATGCATGTAACATTGTTCAATGGTGCTGGTGTTCAATATATAAACAAACGGATTTATGTAGTTTGGGGAGAATTTTAGCAATAATTTGCATCATATATGTCTTGCTTTTCTTGTTATATCGCTTGAGGTCTTTTCTGAAGTCGTAGCATCATGACTGCAATCTTTTATTTTGTAAGTTATTTCGTTCCCAAAATTTTTTAAGGCAATCAACCATCTTGAATTATGATTTTGTTGTGCACATAACTTGTATTGGCATTTCCAGAATGTGGTTCTGATGGATAGGTGTAATGATGGTCTCTTTCTTGATCCCACCTATTCTTAGTAAAGTCGGAATTATTTTTCATTAATCATGAATGGAATGGTTTTGTTAACATTATTTGGTGTGGTGGTACTCTGAAATACTATGAAATGTCTTTTTTTATACCCAATTAATTGTTTTGATATTTTTCTTAACTGACGTTTGGTTGGCTGGCTGAGCCTTTTGTAGTTTAATTGGTTGCAAAAACTATTGTGCTGAATCAAGGATGACAATTTTGTCTTGTTTCTTTTGGAATGCCCAAACCATTTTAGTCTCCATGGTAACAAAACATCAGTGATTGATATTAAAATTTCTATATTTCTTCGGCCAATGTTTAGAAAACATCTTTTTAATTTTTCTATGTTTCTATTTTTTTTCCCTAATCGTTCCCGTTTCTAAGCTAGCTAAAATTATGAAGCAAAGTGAAATTTTGATTCTTATTTTCAGTAATGTGTTTACTGCTTTTCATCTTAGTCTTATCAGATTTAGAGTCACGAAAAGTTTTAAGTGTGTATACTTTTTTTTTTGGGTAAATGAATGAGTTTTATAAGAAAGAAAAAACTGCAATGATAGAATCAAGCTACAACAACCTACATATCTCAACATGAGATGACCAAAAGAGAAAAATAAATCTGGAAAGGGCGTTGTTTAAGTGACAGTAACCTTCAGTGATTAAATTACATAGTTGAAAAAGAACAACTTTATCCTCGTGTACCAAAACAAGAGCTAGGTAGCCTCCAATCAAGGGCTAGTTCCCTGTTGCTGGGGTGTTCGTGTTTCCTAAATCTCTTTCTTTAATATCCTTGAGAAGACTTCCATGACAATCACAAACAAAAAAGGGGGCATTGTGTCGCCCTGCCTAAGACCCCTTGCACTTGGAAAATATCCAACCAACTCCCCATTCATGTTTATAGAGAACTTTGGAGTAGAAATGCATGCTCTGATCCATTGGACAACCATAGGGGGAAAGTTAAGTGCTAACAGTGTCTCAAGAAGAAATCCCCAATCTACCGTATCATAAGCTTTCATCAAATCCACCTTTATCGTACACTTGGGGCAACCTTCCTCCTTATGGTAATTTCTCATTAGTTCTTGTACCAAGAGAATGTTGTCCCCAATCCTTCTACCTACCACAAATGCCGTTTGGGAGGGGCTAACAATATTTGGTAGCAAGGGTTTTCGCCTATTGGCAATGACCTTGGAAATTATCTTGTATATAGTATTACAGCAAGAGATAGGTCTAAATTCACTCATGGTGGATGGGTTCTGGACTTTGGGCACTAGAGCAATGATTGTAGAATTTATCTCTTTAAGAAGCTCTCCAGCTATAAAAAAACTCCTTAACTGGCATACAAATATCCTCACCTATAATGGACCAAGCTTTTTGGAAAAAGTACCCATTGAATCCATCAGGGCCGGGAGCTTTATTCCCATTGAGGGAAAAACAAACATTTCTGATCTCATCGCCTGTAACTTCATTACTTAGAGAAGATGTTTGTTCATCTGGCAAGGGTTGGATCAAATTCCTTAGGATTGAACGCATGTCAGGATGCAGTGAGTTGGTTTTGCCTAATAGAGACTTGAAAAAATGAATGGCTTCAAGCTTCACCTCTTCCTCTTCTTCCACTAAAGTGCCATCTTGCTTGCGGATATTAGTGATTGTTGCCCTGTTGAGCCTAGTAGTGATTGATTTGAAAAAGAAAGCTGAATTTCTATCACCTGCTTCTAGCCATTGTATTCTGGATTTTTGTCTTAGGAATTCTTCTTCTTGTTTTAGTGCCTCAGCAAATAGCTTTAGAAGTTCCTTCTCCTGATCCCTAAGAGAGTGATCCTTAGGATTTCTATCCAAGTTCCTTTGGCATTCAGCTAATGCTAACTTAGCATCCATGGATTTCTTTGGAATATCACCAATCTTCTCTTTATTCAGCTTCATGAACTCAATTTTAAGTAATCTAAGCTTCCGACATACTTGAAATTGCTTTGTACCTCTGATCTGATCTCTCCATATGTGATCCACAATATTGAGAAAATCCTCCCTTTCAGTGATGAAGTTAAAAAAACTTAAAATGACTCTTTCTTGCCTTCTTATCCTTCCCCATCCTAACCACAGCTGGGCTATGATCTGAAATTCCTGCAGGTAAGAATTCTGCTGTAGCATGATTGTCTCTATGAATCCAACATTCATTGACCATCACCCTATCAAGCTTCTTGAAGGTATAGTGTTGCTCGTCTCTTTTGTTCCACCAAGTGTGAAGTAAACCTGAAAAGTTAAGATCTTCCAGTTCAGCTTGCTGTATAGAATCCTCAAACTCCTCCATGGCCTTTATTCTCTTGTTACACCCCCTGTAATCTCTTCAGAAGTCCTAACAACATTAAAGTCACCCAAGACTATCCAAGGTGATGTTGGGATCTTTCTAGCATGGCATTCCAAATCTCTCCATAGTCTCCTCCTTTCTCTATCATCATTAGCCCCATAAACAACTGATACATTTAGAGTCGCCCTGCTCCCAATGTGGTACACTGAGTAGTGTATGACTTGATCTATTTCAGCAATTTTTATAACCTTCAAAACATTGGGGTTCCAAGTAATCCAGACTTTTCCCAAAGTGTCACTTGAGTAGTTATCCATCCAGCCCCAGCTCCTGGCAATTGTTTTCATGATACTACCTTTATTAACATCTCTCACTCTAGTTTCAAGTAGACTAAGAAGATCAAGATGATGTTCAAAAATAAACTTTCTAACCTCCAATTGTTTGGGGGGAGAGTTAAGACCCCTTACGTTCCAACAAGCTAAATTAATCATATAAGTCTTGGAGGATGGTACCCCTGGGCTTTGGCAGACCCTTTTTTTCCCCTTAAAGGAGATTTATGGTTATGCAACTTTTTCTTTTGTTCCCAAAAGGAATTTCATCAATGTTTATCACCATTTTTGGCAATAAACTAAAATCAGAAGAAGCAGAATTTTCAGTTTCATTTGGCATCATACCTTTTAAGTCCACAACCAGTCTGGCAAACAGATTACTAGTACTTAATTCCTCTACCTTCTGAGGTACTGTAGGAGTTTGATGTATTTCAGTGATGATTTGGTCCCCTGAACTTGTTTGACCACTAACCTTCTTGGATGTTCCAGCTTGTGGTGCTTGTAAAGCCAATTTTCCGGCACAGTCCTTACTTGTGTTGCCTCCATGTAGCTCTAGTTCTTGTCTGCCTATCAGAATTTCATTGGTGTCATTGGTCCCCAATATTTGTCCAGGGTTTACAATTCCTTTCCCCTTGTCATCTTTCTCAGCTTTCTCCTTCCATTCTTGTTTGTTGGTTCCCATTGGGCAATTGTAGCTATTATGGCCCAAAACTTTGCACTGAACACATGTTTTAGGCTTCCATTGATATTCAACTCTTATTTCCATAACCACTTTGTCATCAGTATGTTCCCCTTGAATACATAATTCAAATGACTCAATTGGTTCCTGATTAGCTTCTATTTCAACACAGAGTCTAGCGAAGGTGATTCTTTGCTTGGATTCTGTGAGAGAATCTGCATATAAAGGTCTACCAATAGCACTTCCAATATAACTCAGACCCTCCTAATTCCAATATTCCAGAGGAATATTATAGATTTTGACCCAAACAGGGATCTTAGAGTGTAGATCTTTAGTTGGTTGAAGTCTAGGTTGCCACTTTTGGAGTATGAGTGGTCTACCTGACATTAAACATGGCCCATTTTCTAGTATTCTCCTACTAGCCTGCTAAAGAAATAGAAATCTTGGTCATTTGCTAATACCTCCAATAGACCTTCCAAAGTCTGTGCAATGAGTTTGACCACTGAGAAAGGAAGTTTTTTATCTATAAAGTATCCAACTAGGCAAGCAGTCCACTCTTTACTTCCTTGATCTGCAACTGACTGAGGGGGAGACACTATTGTTTTGTTCCCTTCCACTAGGGGCTTAAAATATTTCAGGCACATAGATTTTCCACTTGGCCCACTTGTATGGTCCATACCTTTCCCCTTACCCACTACTTGGCTCCAAGAAGTCTTACCAGATTGGTTGCCCAACTTTTCATGTACTTTGGGAGGATAGATTTGCTTCCATTACTGGCACAATCAGATTTGGTGTAACATCCCTCCTATCCCTTGACAGCTCGCAAGTTCCTTGGGGTAGGTGCTCACCACTTGGGCCATTCTTAGCTTCAGGGGCGTGGGTTTCACTTCCCTTCTTCCTTACTACTCCCTCTATAGTTCTTATAATATGGTTAGGAGGACATACCTTAACATAGTTTTGGCTTGGACCATCAGAAACACCAGAGGCATTTTGACGAACATTACATGGGCTTCCCTTTGCAAGGTCTTTCTGAGCCTTCACCGTCCCATTATTCATCTGTAACTTTACGTCCTCAGAACAAGAAGAATCTTTATTTGGGGAGGAACCCCTCAGCTTGCCATTGCCTAAGCCGTCTGCTTCTTTGTTGCACGAGTCATCTTGACTACATGGCCTCTTAAGGGAAGTAATTATGTTAGAACCATTAGGAATAGCAATAAATGCCATACGATCGCTATTGATTCTACTATCCGTGCTGGGATTTTTACTGACAACAGAGTCACTCTTGCCAATAGAAACAGGGGTTATCATACTACATGATTCAGCTGAAGGAGAAGTTGTCCCCATGTAGTTGACATCAGAGGGGTTGGTTTAAGGATTCATAGGAAGAATAAGCTTAAAACAATGGACAAAGGTGGTGGGCCTGAAGACTCAGCGAGATGGAGGAGGACGGTAAAGTGGGGTGGGGTGGGGTGGGGGGAGGAGAAGAGAGCATTCCCACGACTGTTTCCTTTTTCTCTAATAACCAAAGTGTGTATACTTTTCCAAAGGACGTAGAGACTCCGAATAAAGTTTTTAAATGAGGTCTTCAAATAAGGTTTTCATTCTTATCAAATTATCACCACAAGCTTTTGATAAGATCGTGAATGATAGTCAGCAGGAAGGTTAACTTCATTTTATGTGGACAAAGGTTGAAATTGCAATCTTTTATAAAGTTATGTTTGGAAAAATGTGTTTAATAGTTACTCTGATATTCCATAAATGACTTTGCTCCGGCAAGCTTGAAGGGATGGCGAACCCTCCATTCCTTACCCTCTCCTTTTTTTCAAGGGTTCACCAAAGATGTTATCTATCCCAAACTGCTTTTGGTCCCATAATTTTGACTCTGCCGTGCCACTTCACATGTGAGTTTAAGATATTACTTCATCCATTTTTTATTCAATGATCAAGATCCTTTGAGTTTTGTTTTCACAACTTAGGACTCAGTTATTATACTTTCCTTTTGGCAGCTTGGCAGCTTATATGCAATTCTGTTGTTTGTAGTTGGTGAAGTACCCCAGATTTTGTTTCAATGGCACCTCTATTTGACCATAAACTTGCTTTGGTTTTTAACCTTGTAGGACCAACTACTCATGCTCCATTTGTCAAGCATCACCTGAACACAACTCAGCTTAGCAAAAAATTTGAACACCGCTGCTCAGATTTTGTAGGTGATATCTACCATCTCTTTTCAAGACGAAAATGTATGGCCAAGGTGGTTTTCCTTTTAAAATGTGGTCAATTTTAGTAAGTTATGCCCTTATACGAGAACTATGCTAATTTTTTTTGGTCCTAGAGAAATTATTGTTGTGTATTCGAGATTTTTTGCATTAGTTGGTTGTTGTTCTCCATCCAAATTTTTTTGTGTTGGGTTAAATGCTTTGAAGAAATCATGTAAAATCTTTCAGAATTTGATGGCTCGAGAGGGCCTGTGTTTAATTTTTCTTTGGAATTATGGGAATGCCAGTTCACTAAAAGTAAAAGGTTAGGTTTAAGTTCTATGTTTGACCATTCCAAAAAAAAAAAATTATGTTTGTCATAGCATTTCTATTAGGTTTATCTAGTTTTATTTTTGGAAATTTTATATTGCTACGTATATTTTTTATCTCCTTTTTTTAATTAATAGGATTTTATGATTCTTTATTTGATTTTATAACTTCCTTGATCGATCCAATATAATATTTCATTTTTAAAAACGTTGATGAAATGTAACCGCGACTAATGAGTGTGATTAGTAACTAGATACAAACAGATAAACAAAGTAAATCCATTTTGGGATCACAGAATCCATAAGCATACTCTTTGTTTGGATGACAACTGATTATGACAATGAATCCATGATATTCAATGTATTGATAGCCCCACTCCCACAGGCGGGGATGGTTTGCCTTAGAAAAGACTAGGTCAAGCTCTCTGCATAATCCTTTGTCCCTCCTTTTATAATGGCAACTTGACATACAAAAGGTAACCCCAGATGCAATGTTTGATTTTGTGCATGTGGGTCCATAGTTTAAGGTTTTGTTTTTTTTAAAATACAAAAAATAAAAATCAGCAATTGATTCAAGTTATTTCTAAAAAGAAGTAAAAAAAAAAAGGTTAGATATATGCAATTCATTGCATGAGTATTTATACTTTTGCGAGTTTTGAATTGGATTAGATTTATGCAGTTTTGTATACAAATAGATTGTTTGTATGACTCGAACTCTTAACTTTAAAGTCCAAATGGAATAAATTTATCGTTATGCTAGGAATCTCTCTCAATGAACAATTTTTTAATGAGTTAGACAAAAATCCATTTTCTCCATAAATTGTGCAATTTCAAATGTGGGATAATTGAGGATCAGCGATTGGCTTAATAGCCACCACAACTCCTTCGGGTTAGATCATAAGGGATTTATTTCTCTTAAATTCTCTAGGTTTAACATGAATGGTCTACCTTTAATTAGATCGGATATGAGATTAGTCGAAGTGCGTGTAAACTAATCTAGACATCTATTGAACCCCCCAAAAAAATGGTCACTGTAACCTACTATTAGACTGTTACGTAGTGGATTCGAACCATACTGCCACCTTTCTCGAAAAGATCAAATTAGCGATAAAAAAAAAATTCGGGATGATTATATTAAGTGATAATAAAACACGAATTAAGCATTTCCTTAACAAATTAAATTCAAAATCTAAAAGACATAACACAGACGAAACGTCCCTCCACTTCTTCCAGTCATCTACTATAACTGTCATAGGGTCCACAAACCCGTCACACTCAAACCATGAACAATTCAATAACCCGACACATAATACATGAACTTTGAATCCAACTCCAAACCCGGCATAGTCTCGGGCTCCAAGACCACCTCCAAATCAACAGTCCCACCACCTTCCCTCCCCAGAACATGCAAAATCTTACCATGATACTGATTAGCCCGCCCGCTCCGAACAGAAACGGGTCTGCCCCACCCGAAATCATTGTTGTACATTGGAAATCTTGGCGAACTTCCCATCATGATCATTACCCCATTGAAGTTTCCCAACAAGAAACACCGTGGGTCCCGCTCCCAATCCTTTACTCATCACCTCACCGTACCGTTATCGTGGGCCTTCAAGTTCTTGTTTAGCTGCTCGGCGCACCATTGGAGATCACGTGACAGAACGTCGCCAGCGGAGACATACGTTGGAATGCTCTGAATTGTGTTTTTGAAATAGTACGAATCGAGCTTTGGTTCGAGCCGGTGACGGCAATTCATCGCCATTCTTAACGTTATCATTTTGGATGGTGGTAGTTTCCGAGCACGTGCCACCGGTCACCATAGTAGAGCACACTATGACTGAAAAGATGAGATCTATACCGTTGGATTGACATACTCCATTTCAGTGTTGAAAATGGCATTTCATAGTCATTTCAACGGCGTTATCTTCCTGTCGACAACCTTCAAAGGATCGTTGCTTTGCTTCCCCATCAATTCGACTCTATCAATTGCTCCGTTACAACTACAGATCAATTTTTGATCATTTGTTTTTTATTTCAAATTCAGAATCAATTCTTTGCGGAAGCTGAAAATTCTCTCTCTCAACGGAGCATCGAGGGACAAAGTGACCTTGGGTCCACCTTCAGGGACTCTGAGAACCCTCGGCGAGATCAACACTGATTCACAGTGGAAGTCTGGTACCCTTGAAATCTTCCTCACACTAGTTCCACAAACCTCCACGAAAGTATTGAAAAAGTTCCAAAACGACGTGCTATCAGTAACGACGTGATTGAGTGCACAGGAAATGAAAACGCCATCGACTCACTTGCACAGCCAATACAGGCTTAAAATGGCCGTCGTAACTCATTGTTCTATCAAAAGCAAAGAAATCTTTGACATAATTAGGGACATCAGTTGGGGACAAAATGTCGCAAGCATGAATGTGAATTGCACTAGAGTGAATGAAGTCAACTCCAGCGTCATTACATGTGATATAAACAAAACCGAAAGAGTCAGTTTTGAGACTTCGGGCGAGTGGTGGGAAGAGAGAGAGAGAGTCTGGGAGAGACCACATTCGAGGAGAGAGATAAGAGAGTCAATTGGAACAGGAGGGTGATTGAAGAGACCACCCTTTTGAATGTAGTGATAGGAGAGCATCAGAAGATTAGAGACTGAGAGTTTGAGGTCAGAGAGAATCGATTTTTGGTCTGGGAAGATGGTGCATTTGGAGATGAGAGTTAGAGATTGTGAAGAAGCCATGGTTGAAGAAGGAATAGACATGTTTGAGCTTTGAAGTGTCTGAGTCTTTAAGGCTCTCTTGCCTCACTTCGAATGGGGTGGAATTCTTGTGAAGTGAGGAGTGAGAGAGAGTGTAGAGGTGGGAGTGGTTTATATAGGGAGGGGTTTGAGTGGTTTGGAGGGTTGGGTTCATGCACTTGTTGAGGTAGTTGTTGTTGTTTGTTGGTTTCTCTCGCTTACAAACAACTTGGGATAAGTTGAGTCTCGTTTAGTTGGGTCTTTCTTTTCTATTTTTTTTAACAGGCTATTCGAGCCAATTTAGACCAGATTCAACTAATCTCTTTCTTGGTTTAAGTCAACATACGTCCGGTTAGACTAATCCCCTCACGTTCGGTTAGACTAATCCCCTTATTAGTTCGATTAAAAGGATATTTATGAGGAATAAATTTTTTATAGTCTAATCCTAATAAATTATGAAAATTTGAAATCATAACGTTTATATTCACAACTCATCCATATTATCATACGAACAACCCTTAGGGTTAATTGGCTTTTTCTCCGTGATCTTAATTTTGCACCGATCACTTAACCAATTACATAAAAATTATTAAATGGAAAAATATAATTTAATTAAAACTAAATAGTAGGGAATAGTTAATATGGACAATGGAGGGCATTGATAAGTCACATGTGATAGAACTTAGTTTAAAGAAATCTTTGATTTCCAAGTTATTTATTTAAAAAAGCTTTTGGGTTTTTATGGGTGAATCACAACTCAATACAATAAAACGTAGAATAAAATCCCAAGTTTGAAATGCGGCGTGCAATACAGGCAACGGTGGAATACATATATGTCAAGGAGAATTGTTTTTCAATGTCACACAACTATCTGTAGGAGGCCTCATTGCATCAACGTTGCTACCAAAATTAAAGTCTCATCACGTACTCTGGATGTTCAAGAGTAAGTTTAGCCCCCGCCGAACTGTCGTAGTTATAGACAAGGGCGGAGCCAGAAAAGTTTTTTAGGGTGGACACACTAGCATTTTTTTTTTTTTTTTTAATAGACCGTAAAAGTGTATAGATTTTTATTTATTAAAATTATATTTAATACTTTTTAAACATAAAAAATTAAAAATTGATACACATAACATGAACAAAAAAATAATAATTAAAACTTCTTATCGAGAATACAACTAATTATTATTACTTATAATTGATCCTGATATGTTTTTATTATTTGAAAGAATTACAAATTAATTTTATCATCAATATATATATATATATATATATATATATATATATATATATATATAATTGCAGTAACAATCTTCCATTTACGATCTTATAGTTTACTATATAAGGACACGCAATTTTATACAATAACAAAATAACCCTATAATTTAAAAAAATTATAAAATAATATTAATATATTAAAAAATATTTGGACATGTGTAAAATATGTCTAAAAGTTAACAATTATATTTGTTGTACCTAATTTGAGATTTAATTGATGGAGTCCCAGTGATTTATGACCATTAGATAGATAGTAGATTTTATTAAATATTAAGACTCACTATTATACATAATATTGTAATGTATTAGGTCCTTAAATTAGGTTTCAATAACATTGTTCAAAAAGTCAATAATCATTTAGGTAGATGTCTATTCAAATCAATATCACTAGAACACAATATTAGGGTGAATACAATTAAATATGTCTAAATTTTATTTCAAAAAATACAAACTTAATATAATGCAAAAAAAAAAAAATATTGAAGGGGGGGGGGCAAAAGTTTTGATTTTTTAATAGGTTTGGGTGGATTGTGATAGGTCAAAGATTTGATTTTTTAATAAATTTGGGTAGATAGTGGTGGGTTCAAATTTCTTTGTTTTAAATGGGCTTAATTTTTTAATTCTTTTGTGTGAATAATGTGAGCCTAACATTTTTATCTTGGGTTTTAGGTGGGCACAAATAATATGTTATACAAATATATAATATACATACCTAACTAATTAAAAAAAAAATTTGAGGGGGGGGGGGGGGGGGGGGCCCCCCCCCCCCCCCCCCCCCCTTTCTTTATCCCCATCTATG